AAAACTTATTTTCCGAATTCATGCTGCAAATAAGGCCATATTTCGATTCCGAATGAATCATTATCGGTTAAGTTTTATAGGAAAATATTGACTTTGTCAAAGTGAACTTAGATGGAAATTAGGTGTCAGGTTTCTTTATTGGCTGGTCAATCTTTGTTGGTTTCCTTTTCTTCATCGATAGCATCATATTCTTTAGTTTTCTCACCAAAAAACTTTAGTGAGAAAAATCGAAAAAACGAACTACAAACATATTAACGCCAAACATTCGGTAAAATTTATAGAATATTGTAAAAATTATGGTCTATTACCAACATATATATATATATATATATATATATATATATATATATATACGTGTATATATATATAAAAATATATATATATATATATATATATATTTTTTTCCGTTTTTCGAGTCGTTTTTGAGTATTTTCATTTAATTTTTGGACGGACTATTTATTCACTTTAGTTCCAGAAAATTCAATTTTTCGGTTAATATCGATATTTTAGGGGTTTTAGTTAATTTTTAAGTTGAATTAATTTTCATTTTTTGGTATATTCGTTTTAAGCTGCGTTGTACGATATTCAGGTTTTTGGTGATTGGACAATCGTTAGCATGCCGAATGCAAATGCTAGAGTGTGCACTTGTTGTAAAAATGAAATTAAAAGAACTGAAAAAGAATTACAATGCAGTTCATGCAAATTTCATGTGCACACAAAGTGTGTAAACATATCTGATTCCTATTTACCTGTGTTTAAAATGAAACATGTAAAATTTCATTGGGATGGCTGTCTGGAAATTTTCGAAAATTTTGACAATGCTATAGTAAATGTTGATAGACATTTTGTAAAATCTGCAGTTGAAATTGCTACTTTTTCTGAGTCAAATAATCAGCTCATTTCTGAAGTGAATGAAATGAAACAATTGTTGAATAATTTGGTGAAATTGCTACCATTCGTGAGTCAAACAAGCAGCTCATTTCTGAGGTAAATAACATAAAACAATTGTTGAATAATTTGGGAAAAAATGGTGTGGCCGTCAGTCCTGAGTTTGCCAAAGAAATGGATATAATGAAAAAGGAGTTGAAGGTGAGCTTTGCTGATGTTGTTAAAGGTGAATTTAAAAATTAAATAAAATCCGTAAATACCGAGGTCATGAATGTAAGTAGAAAATTAGATGAAGAGAGTGAGCGGAAAAAAAGAGAAAATAATATATTAGTATTTGGTCTTAAGGAACAAGGTACTTTAGTTGAGGAAAAAATTGTTGTATTAAAAATATGTAAAGAATTGTCATGTGATTTAATTGAAAATACTAATGATTTCAAAATAAGTAGACTGGGAATAAAAGGTGAGTCACCACGGCCTATGCTGGTTGCTGTCAGAAATAGCAATACCAAAACTGCCATCATGAAAAATTTGTTCAAAATCAAATCATTTGATTCTGATTTGAATAAAATTATAATTAGACATGATTTGACACCCCAGCAAGATTGTCGTTGAAAAAAAATGATTGATAAGGCAAAAGAAAAACAGGCGAATGACCATACGGGTTTTTTATACAGGGTCAGGAGAGAGCTGGGGAAATGGAGAATAGTAAAGTTCAAAAAGATGGAGTTAACGTAGGTGTAAAATCAAATAAATATAGTGTTGGGTTGGTTAATAATGGGGTTAAATTTGGGTTATTAAATATTAGGTCAATTATTACTAAATGGTGGGATGTATATCAATTATTAATAGAGGGTCTGGATATTTTTGTTATCGTTGAATCTTGGCATCGTTCCTCTGATCATATATCGGTGAAAATGTCAATGCCACCTGGATATATGTTTAATGAATATTTAAAAGTAAATGATCCATACCATGGGGGGTTAATAATTTTTTTTCGAAATTGTTAAAATTTGAAAAAATAAATGTACCTGTTTTTTCCTCATTTGAGGCACTTTGTCTTGACTTAAAAATTGATAAAATTAAAATACTTTTTTGGCGATGTATCGGCCTGGCTTTGTAATGATATCTTCATTATTTTTTGAGGAATTGTTTTCAATATTAGAATTTGTAACATCACTATGTGATAAGGTAATTTTATTGGGTGATCTCAATATACATGTTGAGAAAAGTGATTGTGGTCACACTATCCACCTTAATAATTTATTTGATTTTTTTCTAATGCGTAATGTCATAAATGAGCCTAGGCATAATTTAGGATGTATACTAGACCTCATCGTGTCTGGTTATCAAATGTCGGTTAATGATATCAAGATATATCCGAGTGGGATACACTCGGATCATAGTTTGATAACGGCGTTTTTGCCTATAACGCGTCCGCTTTCTCGAAAGATGAAACAATCAGTGCGTTCTTGGAATCGAATTGATAAAAATAAATTGATTTCATTAATTCAAGAATCACCAATTGTTAAATTTCGTGATATTATTGATGCAAATGAAGCTGCTGAGCTATTTAATAATGAATTAAATATTGCTGATGCTGTTGCACCGATTCATATGGTTGAAACAAAAATAGTGGCGACTGCACCTTGGTATGATGGTGAGTGTCGTAAGATGGGCGTGATTGTCGAAGGGCAGAAAGAAAATATAGATTACATTATAGAATGAGGGACAAAAAATTGTGGGTTGATTCTTTAAGGGTAAAAAACAACTATTTCAGGGAGAAAAAAGAAAATTATTGGAAAAAATTGGTTGAGGAAAATGGTAATGATCCTAAAAAGTTATGGAGAATTTTAAATAAAATTTTATGTAGAGTCATCAAATAATTGTACTATGAACCATACAGCCAAAGATTTTGTTGAATTTTTCATTAAAAAAATTGGAAGGATTAAAAACAATATATCTGTAGCTGGAGAGCCTACTATAAAGTGTAGGTCTAATGTTGATGAAAAATTTTGTGAATTTTCGCGGGTATCGCAGTCTGAAGTTAGAACCTTAGTAATTAGGTCTCCGTCAACCTCTTGTATGATTGATTGTATGCCTGCTAATATTTTTAAACAATATATAGATTATTTTTTGCCCTATTTTACGGAATTAATTAATTTGTGTCTGTCAACAGGCACATTTCCAGCTGTTTATAGGCATGCAATTATTATTCCTCTTCAGAAACATGCGTCTTTAGACATGAATGAACTTAAAAGTTTTCGACCTGTCTCGAATTTAACTTTTATTTCGAAGGTTTTAGAAAGAATTGTTCATAAACAATTTCTAAAGTATTTAAATGATAATAACTTTTTGCCGAAATTTTTGAGGCTTCTGATCGCTATCAGGTCTCTCTTCTTACTCTACTTGATATGAGTGCCGAATTTGATTGTGTGAATCATGATACACTGTTATGATACACTGTTACGATTATGTTTAAGTTACGGTGTCTGTGACTTAGCTTTGGAATTTTTCAAATCTTATTTGTGCAAACGTACCCAACAGGTTTATTTCAATAATTCTTGGTCAAATACAGTTGATGTTTTGTCTGGGGTTCCCCAGGGGTCTGTTTTAGGCCCACTTCTTTTTACGTTATATACAGCCGATATTACGTATCTCATTGAGGAGTTTTCTTTAAAGGGTTTTGCTTATGCAGATGATGTTCAGATAATTGCAAGTGTGGCGAATGGGGAGTTTGATTTTTTGATT